GAGAGCCAAAAATTTCCACATTTCATTTCTTCTCATAACTTTGACGCATCAAACATGAAATCCAGAGGAGAATACATGGATCAGATCAGAGAATAAAATTGAATCTATATGAGATCACTCGTTATGTAAACATTGATTCAATAGACATGTTCAGGTTCATGTAGTTATGCATCGACTCAAAAGTAAGAAAAATATTTTTCAATAATCTCTCAATGTTCGATGAGAAATGAAATGTGAACATTTTTGTTCTTTGTTGTAAAGGCTTGTACCACTAGAACTCAGACGTTTTTGTTACATGATTGTTAATGTGCGTTGTTCTGGACAAACACAAAAGCTCTCTGAAGTGTCCATGCAATGATATTATTATTAAAAAAAAAACACTACAATGCTGGATCCTGACGAATTGGTCCTAAAGGAAAAGGAAAAATTAGATTCTAAATTCACCTGGTCTCCAGCACCAATTTCATCTTCATTTTTGTTTATGTGAACTCCGGCTGCAATATTTGGCGATTGCTGATCCAGTGCCAACAAAACGTTGCACGTCTTGTAGTCAAAACCTGCCAGGAAAAGTGTTGAAACGGGTTAGATTATCATCAACACATCACACAAAATATAAACCAGACAGTTTATGCCTCATTCGACATCATTCAGATGTTTCTTTTTCTTTGTTGAACTCAAACAGTTGATGAAACTGGTGTTTACCCATTGGTGTCTCAGACAAGTGTTGACATCATGCTTACTCAAGAGTAGCAAATACTAAATAGCATCATTGACACCACCATTTCATACTATAATGATTCAGATCAATTCAGTTTAATGTTCAACTGGTTTCAAGTATAAATATTTCGTCAGCTTTAATTGAGGGATGAATTATTCATACGATCAAGTGGTCAAAAATAGAAATAGGACACCTTGACCAGCCTACTCATTAGGTTTATACAATATACTAAGTAACCAAGCAACTATTCAACATCCTATACCTTTTCCTAGTTCATGGGTCATTGATATGGCGGACAGTCAATCAAAGTGAGCTATGAAAATGATGGAGAACTTGATTATAGCTTATTTTGTGTGCAGCCAAATTCAGTATCAATTTCTTGTGGTAGAGAAAGTCGATCGTTTTTTGATATTACAATAATGGTTGATATTTGAAATGCACCAAGAATGAATTTATGAATTTCTTCATGGATAGCTTCTCCATTTTCTTGACGTAGGTGGAGCGGGTGTCTGATACGTGTTGAATATGAATAAGACAAAATTTACAGGGTGCCGTTTCTTAATCGATGGCATACTGTTGAGACTATTTGTCGGTAATTGAAAAGTACTTGTTTATTGCTGATTTTGCCAAATAATACGTAAGTTGCACTTTCATTGTGCTGATAGTACATCATATTTTGTATAGATTTATGTGAATCAAGGTTACATTATCATTACCGCATTGGGGAATCAACGAATATTTACAAGTGACGCTACTGATACGCTGGCATCTATCCGAAATAACGAAATAACTAGTTTACACTAAAATTCTTCTAATCTTGAAGGTCGATGTGAATGATGATAATTATGTTACTATACAATGGAGGTTCACTCCGAAGCTTTGAAAATTTGATCAGAATTCACCAACCAGCGTCTTTTGTATTCCTGATTATAATGACAGAAAGCATCACAGAAGAACTCTCTACCAAAACTCGATTGTCCATAAAACGGTACAGTTCTGGAATAAAAGCTTATTATAACCCCCAAAAGCTAAAAAAAAACAAAAACATATACTTTCTCTTCCTAACCATCCTAGGTAGGTATTCCCTTTCGTACGTTCCAAAAGTAAAAAAACCTTTTCAATAATATTCGTGTTTTTTATACTCGGAACACTAACTTCTGTAATTTACCTAGGTTCTGAAAAATTTACATCATCATAAGAGGGGATAAAAAGAAACGTATTCAATGTTTTATAACCAAAAATATCAATTGTTTAAAATCCAAAGTAATTTCAAGGTGTCCAGTTTCTATTGCTCATTACTTCAGTAGATAGAAATTCGAAAAATAGCATATTGTTCATTAGTATTGAATATTCAATATACACCAAGAAGCTAACGCACCACCAAAAAGTATCCAAAAGTTTGAGGTACATTTTCGTCGAAACTACTTGTCTGATTTGAACGATTTCTGTTTTGAATGATATGTTATCTTCTTCTAGGCGAGTTCGGCTTGCTCACTCTCTTTTCACTATATTCGCTTCTTATGCGTTCGGGTATTGTTTACGAACTCCTAGAAGTACGAATTTTAGTGTTCGGGTTTCGTAACTCAGTGTCAATGGAAACGACTCCAAAGCCCCACCTCGAGCGGTAAGTGCTCATTCTTAGTGATGTCAAAAACTGATAGGATGTGACATTTATGCAGGCTTTTACCGGTGACGTTTGAAATGGCATCCAACAATATTATTTCGAGAAGAATCATAATACTGTTATGAACGAAACTGGCGAGAATAAATGAAACATTATTACAAATTACATGGAGTGAGTACCATAAACTTTCCTTGGCGAGACTGTCTCCTATATATTTATTGATAACTCAAAATGATTGTAGCTCAAGAATGCCTATTTGTTAGGATGAACAAGGAATTGATTAGATTGTAATGATGATATTGATAGAGACATTGGACCGAGTGTTGCCGGCGATGTGTTTTGCTGAATTTGTCTCAAGTGACTTTGTAAAAACTTTACCAGTGAGTGTTTTCAATAGATCTGGGTATCCTATAAAATTTATCAAGTTTATATCATTCTACATTGCTGCATGGCTACATCCAGATCTTCTTCGGAAGTTTCAGGTTGCATTTGAAAATACATTCAAAACTGTTGACCTATCATAGCTGGGACCGTTATCTCAGCAAAGTTATTGACTTTTTCGTGTATGTTTCTATCATCATCGTCATCATGGACGGCAGGAATAACAATATTATTAATATTTATTTTAGATTCCAGCAGGTTGAGGGGGCACTAAGGCAGACATCTGTCAGAGTAATAAGTCCGGTCGTTCAGGAACTCGAGGCACTCCTCCTTGCTTTGAGATTCACTCCATATGTCACCTGACAAAGATTCACTCTCGTTTAAAAACTTGCCCCACTCCCAACTTTCTTTCATGAAATTTGTAATACCCTGTGAAGTGTAACAGGTACGTTATCAAGTTGAAATTGAAAGTACACTTTAGCCGTATCTCTTTTCAACATCTCTTTTTTGGATTTACTCCAGAAACACAATTTTATAGCATAACATGACTCAATTAATTGATAAATTGGCATTATAAGCACGTAAGCAGCAGGCTATGGTCTTGGAAGGCATTTCATTGACTGGTCGCATGGAACTTCAGATCATAAATGGAAGCCTTACAGCTGAAAGGTACATATTGGAGATTTTAGAACCACATATGCGGTAAGGATTTTTTTTGATGCAAGCTGATGCCAGGGCCAGGCCTCACGTCGCGCGAGTTGTGAGGAATTATCTAGAGGAAATCTGTATCTCTACCATGGCATGGCCATCAGCTCGGAGCCCGAATTGAAATCCCATTGCGAATCTCTAGGACATTCTTGGGACAAGATTACAAGAGGAACGTATCTCGAATACTTTGGATAAAGCACGGCAGAGACTGATGATTCAAATTTGAGAAGACCTGGACCAACATGACATTATTAGGTCTCTTATTAGGTCTCTACTGACCGTTTCTTTCAACTTATGACTTCGCATTCTTTCTCGTTGTTTTATTTGGATAATAATTTTCCATAAAATCATATCATGGTATAAAATGGTGTTTCCCGAGTAATGAAAAAGATAATGGAGTGGATTCAAAATAGAAATGATGAGAAAAGATAAGGCTACAGTGAAAATTCAAATCTAACTTGATAGTGTAACTATTAAACTCTACAGGGTAGAAAAAAAAACACGCTGTAACTGCTACACCCGGTCTGTATATAAGAGGCTTTTATGCAAATACAGTTTGCACACCAATCTTCAGAAGGAGATAACCTGTCATTCAAAACAGAAAACTTTCAAATCGGACAAGTAGTTTCGACGAAAATGTTTCCTAAACTTTTGGCTACTTTTTGTTGGTGCGTTAATTTCTTGGAGAAGCGTGATTATAAAGTTCAACTTTCTTTTTCATGAATCCCAAAATAAGGGCTAACATTTCCAGTATCACCAGTAGGCGTTATTAGAATGTGAGGACAATGTCCAGGTCGAAAATTCCGAAACAATGCAGTCATTACTTGAAATTTCAAAATTGTCCATCTCTTTCTGAAAAGTAACGTAGCCAGGTAGTGTGGTTGATTTCGAGAAATAAAATAGAATATTAGAAACCACTTTGAAATTTCTTTATTCTCCTATTTCAACTTTTGACAGCTGGCGGTTAATGTTCTGAAAAGACAGTATTCAAATTGCAGGGGCGTTATTTGTATTGACAGATATTTTCCAGTATGCAAATATTGTCCAGTAATTGCAAATATTTCCATAGTCCGGAGTAATACAGATCTCCTACTTTTGGAATGAAGTATCATGTTTCTACATTAAAAAAATATTCGTCTTCTTGACGTACAAGAAGCCACACTACCCTATTAATTAATTCATCAGAAATTACAAATTGTCAAATTATCATTTTTAATCATCCAATTTCTCAGCTAGGAAATAATGTTAAGTTATTTTGATGATCAATCGGGGATTGAGCTTCGGACGATTACAACCCTATTTCCAGCATAAAAAATAAGTCTAGGTACACATGCAAAACTTCAGCACCTCGACAAACACAAAAATGGAGTTGAAGAAAAGTCCTCATTCGGAATTCAATTGTTGGTTACCAATAAAACGTGCAAGAATTGCAAGCCCAACGGCCTGAAAGCAAGTAAGCAATAAAAGGGGCGTTACAAGCAATGTGACATGCAACAAAAAATGATTAGAAAATTACAAAAATTTTCTCTGATGGAAGGCCCCTTAAAAAAATTTTGAATTTTTCTATACCTGATCCCCTGCCCCTAAATCGATTTCTTCTCTGTCTGTGTGTACTCCGTCAGCTATATTTGGTGACTGCTGTTCGAGTGCTACCAGAAGGTTCAATGTGCGCCAGTCGAATCCTATTCAAAATTTTGAGAAAACAATTCAAGAAACCATAAAGTTCAATCATAGAGCGCAAATTTCACTCGTGGTTCGAGAGTTCTTCACTGTCTTGAATAATTCATTTTAGTTAATGACCAATAATAATGAAAAATACATAGAACGTGAAAAACTTATATGACATACTCTACTTGCAACTCCAACAAGTTAATACCATGTTAAGTGAAATTACTGATTATAACCAAAATTACATACAGAAAATCAAGTTATTGAAAACAAACAGAAGAGCAAAGAAGAATGTAGACAAATTATAATACATAATCAGACATCCAAACAGTTTATGAAGTGCTAGTCAGTTATACTAGTAAGTTATACATAGAAACCAAATAAAAATTGAGCTATTTTCAAGCAAAACAAGCTAGCTTCTATATGGATTATAAAATCAATCCAGCAGAACAAACTTAACATCTAACACTCACCTTTGGATGAATCATCGTAACCAATATGTTTGACTGTTTCTCTGACAACTCTTTGATAATCTATGACTGCTTTCGATGTGATCTCTCCGCACAGTAGAATCATCCCAGTTTTAGTAACAGTTTCTAAAATAAAATTCAATAGTTAGTCTAAAATAAGATCAGATGATATTTCATATGACAAAATATACAACATTGCCCAAAAGTTATTCTTTTTCTTGGAAAACACACACATGTCCTCTACTTCCTTCGATTTTTTTCAGAATCAAGTTAGAGTTTCTGAAAATCCAAGTCAACTGTGCAAACAATGTGAATGCATGAAACAAACTATAATATTAGGTGGATGTCAGGAAAAATATTTATATCGGACGGAACTATACGATAAAGGCTGTAATTTGATTACATATTACATCATATGCGAAAATAGTGCGCGCAAATCAACCTTTGATCAATTTCCTAAGAATGAGAAGTAGAATCCTGGGAGAATTCAAAATTTACAAACGGCGTCAAATGGGCATTTTGAATTGCTAAAATATCAAGAGAAAATGAGAGGGCAAAAATGTAGGTAATCTCAGAGCTATATCAATCTATCAACAAAAGGCGAGTGGACATTTTTAGTTCTTGAATAGAATCATCACACACTAACCATTCAATTCCACATTTTTTTAGATTTTTTCGGTCGATTTTGAGAAACAGCTGAAAATTTACCGCAAATAAAAACTGACGTCATGATTTCGTAAGTAGGGGCAGACCATAGCACAGTTGCCATATGTTGATATATGAATGGGAATTTCAGAAATATTATTCATTTATTTTAATAATTCATAAATTCACAATTAAATATTTTTAATTAGCTATAAAAAATCCATTGTCTTCTAATATTATGAAGAGAAAAGATTTGAATGTTTGTATTGAATAAGCTCCAAAACTACTGGACCGATTTGAAAAATTATTTCACTATCAGAAGCTGACATTATTCCTGATGAACATAAGCTACTTTTTACCGCGGGAAAATGCTTTATTCCAACAGGAAAACCAGTTGGGTTGAAATATTATTTGGGTATTTCGATGGTTTCCTGAATAATTAAAAAAAAAAAAAAACAATTGGACGCGGTAGGTGTCGTTGCTGTCGGTAAGTCAACTACTAAACGGCTCGACCGATTGGGTTGAAACTTTCAATACTAAAAACAACAACAGAAATACAAAAGGTACAAAAAGAATGAAAATAGGTAAACACAAAAATTAAAATTGTGGGCGTTATCTTGTCAGTTCTCAGCGTTTTGCACACCATTAAGTCTCTAGCCTAGCCAACATATACATGATGTTTAGTTATGGAGTATAAGAAATATTTTAACAAGCTCGAAATAGTCACAGATTAATCACTATATTATCATGGTTTCCTTCTGTTAGGTCAAATGGGATATAGTATAGTTTCATCCAACAACAAGGCTCTAACAACTTTCTAATAACTTGATTATAATTGGTGACTTGAAAACCTTGCTTCATGAGTGGGAATGGAAGATAATCTGACCAATAATCATATATCCGACGAACTGAAGGACGTATCCAAATTGCAAAAATTGATTCAGGTCCCTCACGATTAGGTGAAATAATTGAATGCCAATTAATCACTACCAGTCCACTCGCCCATACTGAAATATTCGAAATTTTATTGAGAAAAAATGCGAAATTCAACGCCCTATATATCAATGACAAATTATTTCAGAGCATTATGTTCAATAATATCTGATTAGAGATCTTCGATTCTAGTTGTGTTTATAGGAACTTCATTTTTTCCAGACGTCCTAACACCTTTTCAAGTGCGACCCACATATTATAAAACTTGACCCTGTATATCTGATACCACCTCCAATTTGAAATCACTTTTCTTGTTGAATTTGAAATGTATCGACTTCGTTTTATGTATTTCTACTTATGATCTATATTACAAAATCAATAAGGATATTTTCGAAAAATCGGGTATATTAGATTTTTTCAAATTTTGTATAATAATAATAATAATAATAAATAAGATATTTATTGAGGAAAGTATAGTATACAAATATATAAGGATCAAAGTACATTAAAGAGAATAAATATCACAATGCGATAAGTGTAAAACACTTGTTTCGCTTGATAATTAAATAACTTAACCTAAAAAGTAGCGGGTATAAATATCACAAGGCGATAAGTGTAAGAGCACTTGTTTCGCATAATAATAAAATAACTTAACATTAAAAATACAGATGAGTAATAGAATTAAAGGAAAGTGATATTAATAACAGTGTTACGAAGAAAATTAGGAAAGTCAATACAGATATTATTGTTGCAAAAATATCTAAATAAAACAAGAGGGTAGTAAGCCAACAGCCAACACCATATTTATTAATCTTATTTTTTTTATATCATATCCGAAATGTTTCGTCGTGGTTGACTCGAGATGAATTGTTTCAGTGCTTTTTTAAACGACTGTGAATTACTTATTTTTTGTATGTGTTGTGGGACGGTATTGTACAATTTTGGTGCTATATATTGATAACTTCGTTGGCCTATAGCTTTCTGCATTTGTGGAACTACGTGATAATATTTTTTCCTTGTAGGGTATGGATGATTGGGTAGGTTAAAACGTTTATTTTGATGGTATTTTATATTAATTTGAAGATAAAAAAGTTGGCGTATGTCTAACACTTTGGCTTCGTGGAATAGTGCGTCAGAGGGGTATCTGAACTCTTTGGACATGATAATTTTAAGAAACCTTTTTTGCAGATTTTCTAAGGTACGAAGATGTGTTTTTAATGCGCCTCCCCAGCATATTATGCTATATCGTAGGTGGCTTTCCACCAAAGCATGATACAAGATTTTGAGTTGGTAAAATGGTAAAATACTTTTCAAATACTTAAATTTGTGAATGATGGATCTCAATTTGTTGCATATATAATTCAGGTGTGCATCCCATTTGAGGTTTGTATCTATTATAACGCCTAAATATTTAACTTTCTCCTCTGGCAGAATATTGTGCTGTTGTCCTGTGGTGTTTATCGTTAGACTTTTGAAAGGTGGAGTGCTCGATCTGTTGCAACTAAATGGCATATAATATGTTTTTTCTAGGTTTACAGTTAGTAACTTGTGTTCTAGCCAGTTCTTTAATAAAGGAAAATCTGATTCCACAATGACTTTCAACTCATGCCAAGTATTCGCTTTATAAAAGATGGCTGTATCGTCAGCAAATCCCAATATTTCTCCTCGACTCTGTAACGAAAACATGCCATTCACATAAATACTAAATAGGATAGGGCCTAATACGGTCCCCTGAGGTACACCATACTCTATTTTTCTCTTGTCACTCTGTACATTGTCTACTCTCACTGATTGGAATCTATTGTGTAGATAATTTCTAAATAACTCAAGGCAATTATTTCTAATTCCAATATCTTCCAGTGTCAGTAGGAGTAGGTCATGACTCACGGAATCGAACGCTTTTGATAAATCGATGAAAATACACAGGTTTGGCAAATTTTCTTCCAGAGCGGCGGATATCCTTGAGGTAAGTGACAACACAGCGTCTTGGGTAGAGATATTTTCTCTGAAGCCATACTGTTGGTCAGATATCAGATTATATTTTGTTAAGTAGGCAGCAAGTCTTTTCTTAAGAATTCTTTCAAAAATTTTTGTAAGGTGCGTGATTAACGAAATTGGTCTGAAATTTGTAATTAAAGTCTCATCGCCTTTTTTGAATACAGGTATAACAACAGTTTCCTTAAACGCTTCAGGCCAAGTTCCTTTTTCCATACAAATATTTATAATGTAGGTGAGCGGTTCCTTAATATAATGGCAAATGGACTTGATAGTTTCAGCTTGGATTTCATCTACGCCGGCTGACTTATTTTTTAAGTCTCTAACGACGTTTTCTATTTCATTGCCGTCTGTTGGAAGAAGAACAAAAGAATTAATGGAAATATTTCTGTGCGGTATATAGTTTGGGTCTCTTTGTATTTTTTCAGCCATTTTTCTTCCTATTTCAGTGTAGACTTTGTTAAAATTATTTGCGATTGTTTTCTTTTCCTTTATTAATTCCCCGTATTCGTTTTTAATTGAAACTATATCCATTTTCTTCTTTTTAGTTTTACTAATTTCTCCCACAATTTTCCAAAGTGTTTTTGTATCACTGATATTGGTATTTATTTGGCGTTGATAATAGTCAAATTTGGCCTTTTTAATCAATTTTGTTAATTTATTTCTATAATTGTTATAATATGTTCTTAGTTGATAATTATTAGGATCTCTTCGCGTATTTCTGAATATTTTATTTTTTGTGTCAGTTGATTTAACCAGAGCATTCGTGATCCAAGGTGCTATTTTGATATTTTTCCGTTTGACTCTTTTAATAGTTGTACAGTCGTTTATAGTACGTGTGAGAATTTCTAGGAATTTGTTTGTTGCAGTGTCGGGGTCAGTCTCGTGATATACCGTATGCCAGGAGATATTTTGCAGGGTGTTTTGTAATTTTTCATGATTGATATATTTCTTACAAGTGATTTTGTTAATAGTTGGTTTGTCGTCATCAAGAATCATTTGCAATGCAACGGTATAATGGTCCGTAGTATTTGTTTGAACTATCAGAGGCATTATGCGATCTGTTATATTTTGTTCAGATTTAACAAATATATGATCAATGCAAGAACCATTGTTATATTGTACTCTTGTTTCATTATTTATTACAGAAATATATCCAGATTCGTTCATAGTATTTAAGTATTCACTGCAACATTCATCGTTTTTTAGAATATCGATGTTTAAATCACCAATGAGAATGGAATATTTGGTATTTTTTAGATCATTCGTTCGTAAATATTCGTGTAAATCCGCAATGAATTCTATTGTGTTTAAAGAAGGGGATTTGTAAATTGCGGTTACCTCCATATTACTATTTTCACTGGATTCAACTTTGAGTTGGATAGCTCTCGTGGCATTTATTTGCACTACTTTATAAGTATATGTGAATTGCGATTTGATGTATAGTATAACACCATCATTTTGGTTATAATTTCCTTCATTATATATTAAGTCGTATCCCGGAATATTAAAAAGCTCAGGGTTTTGTACAAGCCACGTTTCCGTCAATACAACACAATCGATATCAGAATCAACACTATCCATAAATATTTTGAATTCATCGAAATTTTTATTGATACTTCTTATGTTATTATGGACAATGTTGAACGTTTTATGTTGTTGGTTTATTGCTAAAATTTGATTGAATTCATTGTGATCTTGTAGGGTGAAGGTTTGTATTTCTTCGGTTTCAAAATCGCGTATGTATTGTTCCATATCGGCTGTCTATTGTCGGTGCTACTAATTTATTTTTCTTTTTAAATTAATACAAAAAACATTCTAAACATATATCTAAGATCATATAGAAAAGGAGTTCAGATAATTTCTGAGTTTCGAGCTTATCTGTAAGAGCGTGTTCTCGGTTTGATTATTTCATTTTCTTTCAAAGGTTTTTTGGTAGCTGGAACCTTAGGGGTAACTGGATTTTTCTCTGCTGGAGGTAGATTGTTCTTCATAGGGGATGTCTTCGTAATAGGGGATGGAGTTGGGGTTGCAGGTGCACTATTGTGCTTATTATTGCCCTGTTGATGGTCTTGTTCTAGAAGATCGTCTGCCTTATATGCTACTCCTTCTACGTAAAGCCTGTCACCCCTGATATAGCAGTCCTTATATTTTTCTTCCTGTTTAGCAAGAAACAGGTGTTTCCTGAGTATTTTCTGTTCAAATCTTTGTTTTTGAGTCAAGTCCTGCACGATAGATATGTTTTTGCCTTTCAATTTCTTACAGCTTTGAAGTACGTGCCTTTTTTTAATATTTGACAAGAATTCAATCTTGATAGGGCAATTATCTGATTTTCCTAGTGGATAACAGTCGCTGAGATCGATTTCCTTCAATTCGACGTCGAGTAGTCCATTCAGATCTGTACACAAGTTATGTGGTGTGATTTCTTCCTTTTTCTTGTTCAGACCGAATATTATTATGTTCTTTTTGTTTTGGGCTCGCTTCAGGTATTCTACTTCTTCGTTCAGTCTTGTGTTTTCTTTTTCCAATTGGGAAGTCGTGTTCTTCAATTCTTCGATTCTAAGTAAAAGTCGGGTTTCAGTTGCTTCTATATAATTCCTTATTTCAGTTCTGTTTTTCAAGATTTCATCAAAAATTTGTTTATTTGTTGCATGTGTCTCTGGCATTTTCCTCAATCCGTATATATCCCCTTTTTACACAGATAAAAGAATGCGAGGTGAGCAAAGCGGTCGCTTGGGGTTTTTAAGTAGAGTGCAAGAAATACATACGGTTTTTTTTCCTTATCGATGATTGTCACAGTTTTTGTATCACGCACATCAAACAGTACTATTCTAGTTTCTTGTTGTTTAATAATTATTCAATCAACAACTTGATAATCTATCGAGTGACACCACAAGCACGTCTGCTCCACACAACGGACAACAAATGTATGTAAGAGAAATATACTTAATGGAATATGCCTCAGTTAGTAGTTGACATCATTTTTACTCAAGAGTAGCAAATACTAAATAAACATCATCGGCAATATCAATATTTGAAAACAGGAGCATATTTGTTCCCAAAAGGTTCAAAGTGAAATTTCGTAATTTTCAATATATCTACCTACATTATTCGTCTTCGATTATTTTTCAAACAAGGTTTACAAAAATTAAACGAAAATGAAGACAAATCTGACACCAACACAGACGAAGACGAATTCTTCATTCTAAATTATTCATTTTCCGTATGTTGATACAAATCACATTACATACAGGATTAACAAAAATTCACAAATATTGCAGGGTTGCTAAGAGATACAGGGTGATCCGGAGAAGTATAGATAGATGAACAATGAAGTGAATTATGATTGAATAAAATATCCTAGTTACCTACCACATGCTACTTTGGCATTAGGATCTTGCTTTAGATGTGCATCCAAGATGGCGTCACTGATTTGGTCACACATTTTATCTGAAAAAGAACAAATCGATAATTAAACCAAAAGTTGGTAAGCATGCACCACCATATTAGGGTGGTGGTTATAACCCCTAGTATTATTACCCTGTCAATTAGAGGTGGGCGATAGTGATTTTGGATTATCGATAATCACAATGCATAGATATTATTAGAGATGTCATCGGTTTATTGATATTATCGATGTTGTCGATATTCTTGCATTAACCCTCTCGTGCATTATTTAATTAACAGAATTCAAAATGATTTTTTTCTACATTCATGCAAAAAGCAGAACTTTATTGAACTACATTTAGTGGAAAAAGAAGTTCTTTATTGCACTTAGTGCAATAAAGTTTTTATTGCACTCATCTGTCATTCTACTTCAACGTGCTGTCATCATGACAAACATTTTTTATATTGCAACTGTGGTTATAGAAACGTCATATATTCATATTGAAAATTGCACCAATTGTTCATTCACTTTCAACATTGAGGGTAAAAATAAAGTTTGAGTTAAATTGTTCCTAACGTATTAGTTCCTGTTTCAAGGCAAATCGATATTAATAATAAATTATTGAATTTGCGTTTTTCATTTTCCTACACCTAGTGCCGCACCTCAATAAATCATTTTTTGCTTTTTGTATGAACGTAGAAAAAATGTTGTATGCAACTCGTGCAAAAATTGTTTATTGCACTTGTTGCATAAATAACTAAAATCTTTAACCAATTCATATGCTAATGAATTGACAATATGAAATATTGATCAAACTCCTTGATTTCTCTCGAAAATATAAAAAAACTAGATTTCCACTCTAGTGGACGTTATGCATTTTCCATCCCGAGGTCATGGATGTTGGACTCGTTAAAGATCCCTACCTCTGTAGGAAAAAAGGCCGACGTTAAATAAATAAATAAGGAAGAAGAAGATAACCAGCCATAGCCTAATGAACGATATTTGAGAAACGTCTATGTTATCGCAAAACAATTCCAGAGCCGGACTTGGAATTTTCGATGTCAAAATTTTGACCTGGAGGATCGTATTCTTCAAAAACTACTATCCGACTCTGAAAAATCAGGAGAAACGCTACAAGTATGGTTCTTCAATCTGTACGGTACACTTTGACCGATCTGGTAAAAAAATATCAAACAAAATTCTGATGAATATTTCTTCGATTTCGTCCTGGCACACTACCTACTGTCTACATTCGACCAAAAGTATTCAAATCATTTTTTTGCATATAGATATAGCAGCAGAGTTGAGAGCATATCCAATAAAAAAAAAATCAGGACCAGACGTTTCTGGAAATAAATACAAAGCAATTATAATTTCTGAAACCTCCGGGATGTAAAACATTGCCTGGATTCATGTGAATAACCAAGCACGTCATTAAAAAGAGCAGTCTGGAATAAGAATATGGTAGGTGGCGCTTCGTCTGAAGGAATGTTTACACTGACAAAATAAATATAAGACACCTATTCCAAAATGATGGTAACATTTTGAAAAACGAAAAATAATGGAAATTTTATGAAAATCTTACCATAAAGAAAACTTCATTTACGCCACGTCGTAAGTCATAATATTAGGCAAGTGTAATATTGCCTCCAATATTAACCAATGAAAGCGAAGGTCAACGCTTCTATGGCTTCCAATGAAGTTTTTTTAGTTAGAATTGACTAAAGTAATCGATAGTTATCGATATTATCGATATCATTGGTATTATCGATAGGATTGATATTATCGATAAATCCGAGGATAAGCTTTCATCATCGAAATTATCGATAAACCGATAATTTTTCATCTGAATCATTATCGATATCATCGATATATCGATGAATTTGCCCGCCACTACTGTCAATACTGCCGATAGCTTGTCAGTTTAGCCAATTTTAAGAATTCAATTCAAAACAACAATGAAAATTATTAATGAAAAAATATAAGTTAAGAACTATGTGTTATTCGGTGTTCTGAAAAAATAAAGGATAAAATTACGCATTTCATAAAAATGTGGATTTCAATAATGAATTTCATCGATATAAATTCTTGACACTCGGTAAATTTAGGATTCACTCGAAGTGTTAGAGCATAATAATGAGTCCTATAATTTTTTGTTATTGATTTAAAATATATATTTCACAACTGAAGCAAGCATGTGAATCTTATCTTATTGCAATCATTTTGACAAATAGTTATAAGCTTTTTATGTATCTACTTCGTTAATATATTGAAAACTTTTATAAACTACTGTCGAACTTTAAAATTAAGTATTTTCAATATTCGACAGATATATTTCAATATTCGAGGAATGTAGTTGTTTTCTGTTGATATTTCAACAATGTTTTTCTTATTCATCGAAAAAAACTGTTTTTCAGCAAAGGGGTTATTTGTGAAATCAGCCTGGAGTTCCAGCATATAATTCGCCAAAGGTCGTTCGTCTAATACTAATTTACACTCGTGGCTGGTCATGAAATTACAAAAAAAATTGAATTAACTTGGCCGTTAGATATGACAAGAAATGAAATATTTTTGGTTGATTCTCAAGAGAAACGGAATTCCAATTTGATGAACTCGGTTGAATTGTTATATGCAATTACAAATTCCGTTATGATTCGGAAGTTTTTTTTTTCTATAATTATTTAAATAGAAAAAATACTTCCCAAGATGGAAGGTATATTTTTACTTTTCTATTTCCCAAAATTAGAGTTGCAAAAAATCACGATTTTTAATAAAACATTAAAGAATCCGATTTTTTCGATTAAATCATGATTTTTCTGATTTCTACAGATTTTGGTGATCTGTCTACTTATTTTTTCTTGAAATATGAGAATAATGAATTTTAAATCACTTATTTACATTAGTTTTCTCTATTCCTCCAAAAATATTTGTTGTCTAGATTTACAGATAGAAAATCTTCTCGGCGACATAAAAAAAAAACTTTTGTTGACATGAAAATTTCAAACTTCGAAATCGCTTGGGAACCGAAAGAGCCGACTAACGTTATTGTTCACACTCCCACTTACATTAAACACTTAGTTTTTTTTTTAATTCATTGACTTTCCTTATGAGTTATCTACTTTGGCGACTTGTTTTCACAGTAATTTATAATAAGATTCAAATCACGATTAAAATTGAAAAAATCAATAATTGATTTAAATCACGATTCAAATAATTTTATTTAAAACGTCGCAACCCTGACCAAAATCCAAAGATCTGGTTATAAAAAGACGTACTTTCATGACAAATAATTCGTTTATGTGTTGTGGAACATCGGGCGTACCTAGGGAGGATAAGGAGAGGAGGTAGGTGTTGGATTTTTTTTTTGAACTTTTGGTTTGGAGTTCTTGAGAATACTTCCATTGGTAAAGAATTCTAAAGTTCCGCCGTTCCCAGCGCCGTTCGATAAACGAACGAGTTTTGGTAGAGTGGTTCGACATGTTTCAAGGTTAACGGCGAATGGATGTGCTGACTGGGCCTGTCGAGTTTGTCTGACTGGTATTACTAGCGATGGAATTATAGCAGGGATTTCCGAGGAACACTTCCCTTGCATACAACATGTGTATTATTGTCTCTTGTTTTATAGAAGACTAAAATTACAGCGGTAAAAAATGGCTGGATGCAATTTTTCAGTAGCTAAACTTGTTACAAAATAGCTAATACTAGCCAAAAAATGGCCAGGTTGGTAACACTAGAAAGTGTCATGACCAACTGAAATAGTGAAGCTTCTATTTCCATAAATGGCAATGTTTACATGAAATGAAAAAATCTGTTTCATTCAAATAATATCAAACTAGCAGATGGAAGTTATATTACTTTATTCTTGATGCAATTCAACCATAATTGACTTTCATGTGAACTCTTGGTGAAGTGTAGATTTTGCAGATTAGTGAAATTACTTTGATGATAGAAGATAATGCTCTTATTGGATTTATGATGTAACATGGATGTACCTACCTTTTCAGATTCTAATGTGAAAAATAGGTTCAATGAATTAAATAAGTGACTGGTATCATGTTTGTTTTCTTCTGAATGCTTGTAGTGCTGACCACATGCAATTTTCATTATCGGTAACATTGTACCTACGTAGTAAAATATTGCGATTTACGCGGCATTTTACGATAACAACCAGATAGCTTCTGCTCAGTAGGTATAAGATAAAACATAATAGGCATGTTCTTTTTTACCCCACATTTTCATCATTGATGGAAGTGACGTCACTCTCTGATGCATCGAATTGTTGGTGTTAAAAAAAACGCAGTTATTTGGCATGACAATCACTCCTTTATTTATTTTTCTTTTCGTGATTTGATAAGGATTTAGATTGTTTTCAATTAGAAGCTCAGAATTGGCGAAAACTAATGTAAAATGAAAAATGATGTATTAAAAGTGTTATTGGAGTCCTTGTCTCCAGATCCAAGAGATAGGTTGAAAATTCTCAACAACCTCTACAAAATCTTGCATTAAATTACCTATGATGATATGGATAGTCATTAATAGGAATTCTCTGTTGGTACTCAAGTTTCCTGAATGTTTGCACTAATTTCTTGAAATTGAGGATGGGAATGAAAAAAGTACCTATATATACCACTCGAAATTTTTTCAGTTTCTGTTGGTGTCAATAATGCAAATATTCTTTAATTTTCATATTCTAGGCTGATTCTGATTAATTCATCCATATTTTTCTTAGGCAAATGGCAAACGGCTTTCTAATCCAATATTTTGTTTTTAGTTTTTTGAGGTTATGCTGTCGCTGTCATTTCGAAATGCACCAAAATTCGTCCATCATCTCTGTAAATGGGTGGAATGGTTTGCAATTTTGGTTGACACAACAGTAATAAACGAGGAGTTAACCACGGTGGAATTCTGGTGTACAAACAACTGGAATTCTTTGGAATTCCCTGGAATTCATTAGAATTCCCTGGATTTCCTTGGAATTCCTGGAGTGAAATGCGGTATATTCCTGGGCTACGAACAACTGGAATTCCTTAGAATTCCATGGAATTCCTTGGTATGATTCTGGTGTACAAACAAGTGGAATTCTTCGGAATTCCTTGGATTTTTTTGGAATTCTTTGGATTTCCTTGGAATTCCCTGGAATTCCTTGTGTGAAGTGCTGTATAATTCTGGTGTACAAACAACTGGAATTCCTTTGAATTATTTGAAATTCCTTGTGAAATTGAAGTTTGATGTACACAATTTTGACCGCGGAATCCACCAAAGAATATATATATGCGAGGCATCATTTTGGCATTGAGGAATAAGTGTACACAATTTCAGGGACCAGAATGAAATTACTCCGAAATTATTTAGACTTGCAAACTTACTGAGTTTATACCACAGGGTTGTTTGTGAGACATAATGACAGGATATTATTGATCTTTCAGTGCTTGTAATTGTGCCGAAAGCAAACGGTTGGGTTGGGCCATTAACCTCTGATTAATGATTTACAAACATTTCAGGCAAATTTTGAGAGTCAATATCTTCCAAAATATTTTTGTCTCCACACAAATGTATTCCTATCATCAATGTCATTGATTGCCCCAATTTCGGAAACACCCAGTATACCTAATTAGTACACAACAAATGCATTGCAGAACTTTTGTTTGAAGTTGAATGCTGATTCTTACCATGGTATTCAACAAGTGCACATTTTGAACCATTTCTTGTGCCAGGAATAATGCTAGGTTTGTACATTCAAAATCTAAGAAGCAATGATTAGGAATTACTTAATACTCAACAATCCATATACCTCATATATATTTTTTTTCATAACTATTGGGAACCAGATGTGAAATGTCTGGAGATTGATGCTCACAATGATGTTCAATAGTATTCTTGGTCTTCTCAATCAATGAATCTGAATCTACCCTATATACAACATAACAATAAAATACTTAAAACGAAAAAAACCAACTCTTGAAAAGTAAACCTTATGAACACTGTGAACTAACAATAACAAATGAATATGTCATATTCTGTGTGTTTTCAAAACTTGTATGATACTGATTGTGGAAGCATGTAACCTCACATGTGTTTTAGTGTCACCTGTCAGTACATCAATATACACAACAAAAGAAAACAATGAATTTTGGAAAATATAATTGAATTCATGTTTCGATCACCAAACTTTGCTAGATATAAATAGACAACTCAATTTCCTTTTTATTAGAATCAAATAATATCAAATTGTGATAAACAATGAAACAAAAATAAAATAACCCAAATATTTCAGGTGTGTTCTTAGAAGCCAATAACCCCCTAGCCCCTCTTTGAGGGCGCCCATGTTTCAAGATGTCTATTAACTCTAATATTCTACCCCCACCCCCTTGAATTCAAGATATGACAATAATAGATCCATAATAATTATAAAAAACAACCTAAACTCTAAACAAAACCCCTTCCTAGTTTAGTGATCTTATTAAACTAATATGAATGTCAATCCACAATCCACCTGAGGGCACTCAAAAACACATGTACAGCATAATGAAAACAGGATATTTTGTTGTACGTTGTATAGCTGGTTGTCTACATTCTACACCTAATAACAATATATCGTGTTTCATAAAAAAAATGTGCGTGTTTCTCGGGTCTAACCTGGTCTAACTCAAACACGTGCCCATGTTTCAAACATTCTAAATTAAGTTTTCTACGCACTGTTCACCGTGTCTCAGACGAAATGTGCACAGCAGAATAGCTGTTGTATTTTGATCACTGCCTATACCTTAGCATCCGAGACAGAAATAGAACATTAATGGGAAAATTCGTGGGCCATGCGGTGCTCACCGCCATTTTTCGTAAGAAAACCTACATACGCATTTTTCTACTAACCTGGATGTCCTTCGCCAACTGATTCCGAAGTGAATAAGAATTCAGATCCATCCTTCATCTCGTAACCTGAATGGCCGTTCGTGTAGCCATTTGTTATCGTGGTCTGTGGCATTCTGAACCTCGATTTCTTGAACACTTAGCACTAAACACTAGATTTAGACGTTTGTTACTGTGGAAAAGAGAACGGGAGAGGGAGCGGATCCTACTTATAACCTCGCTTCGTACCACGTGATCTGAAGCGGTCGATGATTGGATGAGTGATGGCAACGCTGTCAATTTTCGGAGGGAATACTGAAATATAGGAAATCATTATTTTCACATAATATGTAGTCAACTGCCGAAACTTCAGTATTTTTTGTTTTTGAATGAGAGGGTGAGTATGGAAATGTTTCGGAAAATGTAAAACTTTCAAGATTGTCTTTCATTAGTCGAGAAATAAGAACTTGCTAGCTGCTACTAATCTTGGTCTTCTCTTAAAATTAAATTCATGTACCATATGAAACCTGCGTTTAACCTTTGAGTTTTAACTTTATTTCAATCGATATCAATATCCTCTGTCAGTTGTTGTTACGGTAGGTTTTTTAACCAGGATGATGATAAATGGTACAATAATAATAATAAAAATGATAGGTATATAGAGTTAGGTTATAGGTACCTATTAATTTTGATAATAGTAATAATATTATATAGTAGTAATAATAAAAATAATAATAATAATATATAAAAATAGTAATAATAATATAATTCTGATAAGGCACACATCCTGGCTGGTGGAGTGCAGGATGCCGTCATACTTGGATCATGGCGTTTAATCAGGGCACAACGGTTCTTGGTCCCGCAGTGATTACTCACCCCATAGGCTGTGGGGATGAGTATATATAGTCACTGGATTTTATCCAGTACAACTCTGCGTGGCGTCGGAGGCCGCAGAGTCGTGACTGGAATAATATGAATTCAAATAATAATAATAATAATAAAAATGAAGAGAATAATAGGTATGGAAATTAAAGTAAACTTATCGAAACTTCACTTACGCAAACGATATAATATAGAAACTGATGATACTATACCTACCACATTTTCCTATAAAAATGTTTTCAATGCAGAAAAACAATAAAACTGATTTTTCACGATCAGCTTATATGTATTGAAAAATTAAATGTATTATATCGCCACTTAGCGATTTAATTATTTTCCATCGACAAGTATGATACACGACGATTCACGACAATCGCTATGCAGACCTATTTTCCAGCCCCGTTTTCTGCCAAACGAAAAGTCCAAATGAAAAACGGTTTGGATGATCGTAAGGACGAATACGTTTTAATACCTAAAAAAACGTTCGCCACTACAGTTAGCGATCATGAGATACACGTCATTTCTATGTTTGGGAAACATGATTCTGAAGAATTATTCAATGAGAGTTTATAAAATTGTAGTTCCAGAGGCTCCTGTTTGGTGTTCTGAATGACAGTACCCATATTCGTCGAAGATTTTTCCAAAATCTCTTTTGCTGTTGAAATACCTACTCCAAAAGCACTATATAGTGACACAGCGTGTGTAAAGCGAGCTATCGCACGCTTTTCTAGGTATGTTGATAGATGACTTCATTTTGTTGCTTAGGTGATGTGTCAATTTCAGTGAATGACAGTAGCTTGGTAGGCGCTTATCTTTCCATCAATATATCAAGTTATCAATCGAAACCGGAAGCAGGCAAGTAATATTTTTTGAAAAGTATTATTTTCTATTGAAATTTCTCAGTTTTAGTTGAAAAATATCCAGCGATAACGATGAGATTATTTCATACAAAACAAAAATCCTCGAAAGAGCAAAAATAGCAACAAATTAGTTGCTACTCGTGAAGTCACGTGGAAGATACGAATTCGCCTACAAAAAATTACTCAGGAATAATATTATGTTATTTTCGAAAAATATTCTGATACTTTCAACAATCACACAATGACTATAAGTACCCATAATAATAATTCAATATGTTTATCGAATGTGTTTTTTGTTAATAATAAAGTTGTTAACATAATATCTATACTTTTGGGTGTATGATAAATTGACATTCATCATACAGGGCGTGGAAAGAAATTCTGAATCGAGACTCTATCACGAATCTGAATAGACTTCTACTATAAAAATCACAAGTTTCCATCGTTCAAGTTTGAACCCCTTGATTGGGTATAGTGTTGAAAAGGAATATTCTCAGATAAATTATGAACATACAAAAATGGATATATATTTATATAAAGCAAAATACATTGAGAATTCGCATTCTCTATGTGATGAGAATATTTACTCTTTCTCAGTTGATTCAATAGAAAACAACTACTTTCCTGGCTATATGCCACGACGAACATTGAATTATATCTATTGAACACACACGATAAGAGTTTGAAAATAAAATATAAAAACTTCTGAAATTGAGAATTTGCATTCTCCTTCAGATAAAAATATGTATATGCACACACCATTCTGAATATTCAACAGAAATCAACTACTTTCCTGGCTATTTGCCTCGTCGAACATTGAATTATATCTGATGAACATATTGGTAAGTTATATTTCTATATCATTATACATCATATTATTCATCCGATTTGAAGAAGAATGTCAATTCTCAATTTTGGAGGATTTTATTCTTCATTTTTCATGTTCTCCTTTTGAATGTTCATCAGATATAATTCAATGTTCGACGAGGCAAATAAATTTTTATCTGAAGGAGAATGCAAATTCTCAATTTCAGAAGTTTTTATATTTTATTTTCAAACTCTTATCGTGTGTGTTCAATAGATATATAATTCAATGTTCGTCGTGGCATATAGCCAGGAAAGTAGTTGTTTTCTATTGAATCAACTGAGAAAGAGTAAATATTCTCATCACATAGAGAATGCGAATTCTCAATGTATTGCTTTATATAAATATATATCAATTTTTGTATGTTCATAATTTATCTGAGAATATTCCTTTTCAATAATATCTATACTATCCTGAAGGAAGTATATATAGTGTAGTCGTAGAAAAAGTATAGTACATTTCTTGAGTTGTAAAGCTATTACTCACTTGTGAAGTTACTATATCTATTATGACTTACTGTTTCAAAAAAATATATTTGGATTCAAATAAATTTTACTTTTTTTTTGCTTCACCCCTCCACAGAAAAAAGTATCTACGCCCTTGAATCAAATTAACGATTCAGTATCTACTGATGATTTTTTAAAATCATTATTACATCATCGAATTCATTTCGAAATCTTTGATGTTTTAGTAAACAAAAAATGTATTACGAAAATTGCGAGATACACTGGATTGAAGATTTATTCTCTTTCTGGGAAATATGATTTTGGTACAAAGGGTCAAGGATAACAAAAAATCCGGAAAATTTTATCAGACTCAGTTAGGTACAAACAATTTCAACTTATGCGATAATACTTCACATAGTGGAATTATTTGGGGTTATCACCAATCCGAGAATACAGAATTGATGATGAAATCGAACAGGTCTACTCATGTATTGAAAATTCTTATGTTCTCATTCATTGGAGAAATAGTATTGATATACCAATGAACATAGAAGACATTTTTGATGAAACTGATAATAAGAGTCTAAACTAATAAGTGACATTTTATAATTTTTGATATACCTACCTATATTCCTGTTCAATCAGTTTTCAAACAAGGTATCATTGATGGATTATCGATTGATTTTTCTTTAAAGGTTCCTAATTTGAAACAAATAATGTCAATTTACCCCCACAGTATAAAAAAAATCACCTCCCGTGGGAGTAGGGAACTTTTCTTTTAATTTTATTGCAAAAAATCTTGATGAATTTGTGAAAGAATTTATTTCTAATCATGGGATTTGCAGAAATATTTCAGCTATCTACTGCTCTTCTCGAAGTGACAGAATCTGAATTAGCTCATTTTAAGGTAATGTTTGATTGTGTATAACAACACTATTACATTCAACATCATTATTGAAATTCATGGAATTGGGCGAAGAATAATAACGGTTTTGAAAAACAAATTAGATTCAAAGTTTTGAGTGCAAAAAAAGTGGAAGGCACCTGAAGTGTCGTAGGAATATTATCGATAGGAAAATATCATATAGAGTAAATATGTAATGAATTTGAACAGTACACTGTAGGAATATAAACCATAGTAATGTAATACATATAGATCCGTACTATATATGAAAAAAAAGCATCAACACGTATGTTATCATATAGTCGTGTTCCATCCAGAATGGATTATATGTAAGAACCGCACTTGATAATAACTGTATTTCTTTGGAACCATATTTCTACTCTTAATCCACTTCGAATTAGATTATGTGTGGATTTCAGGATCAAATACCAAATGTGATATTTTGGCGACAGATATTTTTTCTTATGAAAAGTTAATTACATTATAATACATTCGTCTCAGGAACTTTTTGAAGTTTTTCTAATTCGCGATTGGATGAAAAATAATGGATTTTTTCAAGAGCCATATGCATTTCTTGAAAATGTTCTCCAGAACTTCGTAAACACTGATCATTGTGAAATAGTATATTCTACAACAAGTATTGGAATGCCTGCGTTAAGAATTGTATGTAGGTAGGTACTTACCTACAAGAGGATTTTCACTGTTAGCACAAGATAACTAACTGGATACTGTACTTTACAATAATATTCAAATACTTAGGAAACTTTCGATAGGTACGGGTATTTGAGAAGTGTTATTCAACTTTTTGGTAGTAATATGTATTCGAAAAATACTGCTTTCAGTAACCGCGACCTCAATTGACTGGATCTTTTTATCAGCAAACATAAGAATTTAAACTTACCAATGAGATAAAGATAATGTGAAATAGTTGTTATACGAGGACAGTTTGAAATGAGAACATCATTCTCAGAAGTCACATAATTTGATGATTTGGGTAATTTGAATGTGAAAATAGTTCGTTTCCTATTTGTCAAATGGAAAGTATTTGATATATCATTTTTCCAGACAAGAAGACTGGAGAGTAGCATAATGCACTCCACTGAATTGGCCAGACCAGGTGATGTCACTGGTCACATGGTCATTCTACAAGAAGTACAAATGGAATCTGCAACCGAAACATCGGACATAATGCCAGCCATAGGCTCAGTTGCGATCATACCTTTGAAGTGGTTATAAAAAGCCGCTGAGCCTCAACTGGACAGAGGGTCCCTTGTTTGGTACACCGATGGTTCGAAAATGGAAGAAGGGGTAGGCACGGGTGTATATGAACCCGGATGTAGGCTAGTTGAAGCCTTAGTTCACTCCCCCACTATCTTCCAAGCTGAAATACATGCCATCATAGATTAATTTAATCTATGATGCCATCAACCTTTGCGCCCAAAGGTGCCTGAGCAAAGGTCTGAGGGATGCCAACATATATATCTGCTCAGACAGCCAAGCCGCTCTAAAAGCTCTAAAATCATTCGTTTTCACATCAAAGATTACATGGGACTGCTTTGAAACACTCATGCAACTGGGAAAGGGCAACAAAGTCACACTTATGTGGTTTCCAGGGCATAAAGAAATCAAAGGAAATGAAATGATAAAGGTGCAGTATCTGCACTTTTTGGTCCTGAGCCTTTCTGTGGGATAAGCAATAAATGTCACCTAAAGGGAGAACTCGCGAAATGGAAAGAAATTGAGAAGTCCTCCTACTGGAGAGCAACTCCAGGTCAACGACAAGCGAAAAGGTTCTTCAACCATTCGCAGAACCGAGCCAAAGAGCTACTCAGCCTCAGCAAACCAGAGCTAAAGCTTATCACAGGCTTTCTCACAGGACACGGCCCTCTGAGGTACCACCTCAAGAAGATGGGCCTGACGGAGACTGACACTTGCCGCTTTTGTAACAATGCAACCGAAACCGCGGAACACATACTTTGCTCATGTGAAGTATTAGTTCGCCAAAGGCTGAACCACCTAGAACAGGTCCCCTGCTGAAGTGGAAAAGTCAACCGTCAGGAAAATCGTAGGCTTCATCAGAAGTCTAGGGTTAGAGGACCAAAACTAGATAGGGGTAATCACAATAGATCTCCTAGGTCGCAGTGATCGAGAAGTCTCCCAGCCTATACGACCCATCTACAATCTACAATCTACAGCATAATGCACTCCCCAAAGGTTGAAGTTGGCAATCATTTTTCTGGCCCTTTTACAAAAAAGGGCAAATGTTACTAATACATTTTATCAAAGCAGCTAGATTCAGTCTGGCGCTCGGCTACATACCAAGCAACTGGAGACGAGCAAGCAAAGCCTTCATCTCCAAAGTAGGGAAGAAGGGCCCTACCCTTGCAAAGTCGTTCAGACCATTAATTATTCGTCTCTCATCCTCCCTACTGGAAACCCTGGAGAAGGCCGTAGATAATAATATCAGAACCGCGAGATACTGGAGAGGATGACATTGCAGCTCAGACAGCAATCATATATAGGGCGAGCAGAACGAAGAATTTCGATCTTTATATACACATATAGGGAGGGACCCTTTCACGAAAAGAACAATGATATGGGAATTGACAAAACCACATCCAGATGGATGTGCCAAATATTGGCTACAAGTACGGCTGAAACTAAAGTGGGTGTGCAAATTTTCAGATCAGCTCAAGTAGGGGATAGCCACAATAAGAAGTGCTACTATCACCCTTGATGTGTAGTTTCGTAATAGACGAACTGATCGGAATACTGACCGGAAACGGAGTAACTCGCCTTGCTTATGCTGACGACATAGTCATTATGACCACAGGTGAATTCGAAGGAGCCATCTGTATCTCATAGAAAGGGAACTAGAAACTACCAGAAGGTGGTGCCACTCGGTGAGGTTGAGAATTAAACCATCAGACACCAGAGTGATACCTTTCACATGAAGAACAAAACGACACTAATTGAGCGGGACTCTCTGGCTCGAGAGATCAGACTTATAGAATGGCAGGAAGAGGTGAATTATCTGGGGCTCATCCTAGATGCAAAACGTCTCTGGAAACGACCGGTAGGAAATATTGTCAGCTGAGCGAAATCATCACTGATGGTGTGCAGCGACATTGCAATAAAGACGTGAATTCGCCACAAGAAGACGAATTTTAGAGAAGGTGCAGAGACTAGCATGTGAGGAGAACGGTTTGGGAAGCACATCTCGAGTTAAAGAAGGCTGGGATCAAAGGAAATGCACACAATGCCAGGGATTCACTGCCCACTAGAAGTGCACATCTCGCCCATCTCCCAACTGATGAAATTATCAGGAAGTTCAATTTTGAGAAAACATTTTGTATGGAAGTATAAGAGCAGCAATAGAGAATTAAACACAGAATTCATTCAAGCACTGGGTCATAATACCATAATAATATGGTATATGGATGGGTCTAAAATATCCAAGGGAACTGGAGCAGAAGTGTTTGGGCCTCGCACTAAATATTTCGAAACGATCGGTATGTTCCCTAGCGTTTTCATGCGGAAATTCAGGCCATAGGAAGGTTAATCCAGTTTAAGCACGACAAGAAACACCGGAACAAGGAAATCGCATTTCTTCCGAACAGCCAAAAGCAGCCATCAGAGCGTTGAATTCTTCTAACATCAACTCATAGGCAAGGAACAACAAATACATCCTCGTATAAGTGCCGGGGCACATTGGAGTACCAGAACCATTCTGCGGCCTTGGAAATTCTTTCAAGAAGAACTCAATGCAGACATGCAGGACTGCTGCAGGCCAAAGATCTCCTCGACAATTTCAACCGAGGAAGATCAAAGACACTGATATTAACCTCAGCAAAATTTTTCTCATGGGAATAACGGAATTTCATTTCTAATGGGGCATTGTAGACTCAAAGAACTCAAAGAACATCTAAGGAAGCTCATTTGATTGCCAACGTCACCAATTGTTACTGAGAACTGGAAAGTGTCAGGACAAATACGAATTTTCCATACGAAAAATCCATTCTTTATGTTGAAAACGGGAGCAGATTCGTTCCCGAAACGTCCAAAGATAAGTGAAAGTTTGACATTTTCCTATATACCTTCATTTCTCTTCTCCAAACCTTTTTCAATACATATTGTCACTGACAATTAAGCTAGTGAATTTTTCTTTTAGGCTCTCTGATAAGAAAATTCATTAAACGCAGCCCCATTTGGGGGCAAATCATCTGATTTGTCCTAACTAGACGTATATTGAAAAATTATTCATATTTTTATACTATAGAGACGAGGAGAGAAAATCGCAAATAAAATCTGGAATAATGTACCACCTCCTCAATCAACCTACAGACAGTATGTAACCATATGGCTTGTGATCAATGAGTTTAAAGGTTGCATAAAATTGAAATATAATTTTAAAATCCAGTTTTTTTTTCAACGTATCAATCGCTCAAGATGTGTGTTGAACAATTGATGGCAAATTTTTGCCACAACTGCTATCTGCTATTGTATTCCAGTGTTTTTATAGAGCAAAAAGAAATGAATTGTTTTTGTCGTATTCACAGTTCGAAATGAAGTGTTATTGCAAACTGGTGTAAATGCCCTAGATAACAGTCACTTAAAGTCGAAATTTTGATAAAAAACGTTGAAAATATATTAAACTTTGACATTATGATCTCACAACGACTGTGTCTCTCAGCTCCACCCCTTTGACAGTCAAAGATCTGTGTAATGTGGAATTTGTAAATTTTTTGTGAAAGAAAATCACCTGGGTTTTGGTGTTATTCACAAATATCTTAGACTCATCAAAGTACGGTATGACTTCCTTGTCCAGATGTTTTGTGTCCTGGCAATATTCGAGTCGAAGGATTACGGATTTCAACTACAAAATGAATTTTCGTTTTGAAATTTATCATAATCAAAGTAGCCATCCTCTATTGGAATAACGTACACAGGAGGGCTGATGTGTAGGTAATTTCGAAGACTGGTAATGCGCGGATGCCATTCATTTTCTTGGTGCCGGCTGGATTATAGGTGAACGATTTCAATATACCATACACAGACGTAGTGAAATGACATTACGCTTTGATAACTACTGGTCCAGTGCTGGCTGGATTATGAATAAATGATTACGATATTCCATGCGCCAGCATTTTGCCGACTGATCATGCATTGGCCAGAAGGCGGCCAGAGATTCGAAGTTTGCTGGGATGTGTTCGAACAGATCATTCCACCTCGTATATATGACTATCACTTTCGTGAGAAACTCTGAAGCAAAAACATTCTTATGCAATTCTTATCGATCTGAATCAGAATTTGGCACTTTTTTTATTAGAAATTAGAATCAGAGAAATTATATCAACGTTATGTGGTAATATATTGCACAGATTTAGATTTATAGGGGTCAGTGAAGTAAATAAAATACAACAATATGTTTGTTTGAAAATATTCAACATCATTCTCATTTATCTACAATAATAAATATGAGATACCAAAACTTATCATCACTGAAATGATGCCATAGCAATTTCTTATTTCCAATAAAAATATCATGTTCTGATCGAATTATGCAATAATGGGTATAGGAATCGAGAAGTAGTAGTCTGGGGGTTATAGTTGTATAGTTTCTGATGGATCATGTGTGACGAATAAATATGCTCCACAGGAGACAAGGTCAACAAATCCATTTAAATTGAAAATCATATATTTTCAGACTGATAGAAACTTTGGAATACATAATGATTTCACCAACAATCCGATATTTCATGATTCGAAAAAATAAACATATGTCTAATACCTATAGGTGAATCGCCTATCAGTTATCTCCAAAGTGATAGACAAAGCCATCAATATCGAGCTCATCCAACATCTGGAGGGC